TATTTGTTTATAATTATGCTTCTAACATACTAACATCCTCTTTTTCTTAGCAGGCTCTTTGGGGCCCACTGGGTTCTGACTGGTGATTTTTTAATATGACTTTAATGCTCCATTTATCTTGGACATCTTGTCCTCTTGAGTTGTGCTGGTGTTGCATTTTCAGTATTTTAGAGACTGTAAAGATGCTGGCATGTGTGTGTTTGTGTATATATATATATAACTGTGTAATAGTCTTTTGTCAAACAGTCTGAAAATTGTATATTTTCAATAGAGATAGAAGTGTGTCTCAGGCAATGTAAATCGCATTACCTTGCTGTGGGACTGCAAGGACTTTTGTGAAATCTCCAAATGTCTAAATGGTTCCAGCTTCTGTAAGCAACCACAGTTGACAAAGCAGCAGCACTCATCTAGAGTCCTTTGTTAATTCTATAGAAGAGAAAGAGGAAGAGTTACTAGTGAGTCAGCTGCCTTGGTTAGCAAACATAACGTAATTATGCCCAGAAAATTAAAAGAACCTCAAGTGAATCTGTCATTTTTCTCTGAAGTATTTACTCATCTTTGTGTGGGCTATATATTTTAAATGTCACAAGGCATTTGAAGACAGCAATCATCTCTTTTCTATTTGTGTATCACCCCTTTTAAAAAAATCAAGCATATGCAATCAGTGTTGTATAGAAAACCAACAACAGACAAATGAGAGATGGCTATTGGGGGAAGAAGAAGCTTTCTCTTAAGGATATGCTATTATTTGGTTAAATTTTCAAAATGTTACTTTTAGAGCCTTTCTGTGCTAGAATGTCTATTTATTCATAATTTTTCTTGGTGGATGTTTCAATTCTTTTAAATTACAAAGGTATCATTAGTACAAGTCAAAATATGTAAAGAGGTAGAGAAAAAAAGGTTAATATTTTCCTTGTTCTACCTTCCATTCCCAACTAGAATTTTTATTATTTGTATAAAGATGAGATTCCATTGTATTCATAATATTCTCTCCTTTTCCCCCACACTATAAATATTAATTTTTAAACTTGCTTTATTTCAGTGTGTTATTGGATCTAATACATTCTTTAAAATTGTAGTATAACATTTCATAACATAATTACATAGTTTATTCATATTTTTTTTCTTGATGAGCTTTCAGATTATCTCCAGTGGTACAATAAATCTCTTTGCTTTGGAGTTTAAAGAGCCCAACTAAGAGTCATCTTGTGGATTCAAATGTTCCTGCCACCAATTTCTAGGCCATTGGCACATTTGGTCAGGAAAATAGCTTTTCTCGGTAGAATGTGCCATCTTCCCACATTGCTGGGCGAGGTTAGCTCTGTGGTCTGCCTGTGGTGGAGCATGACATCTTGGTCAGTCAATATCAGTGGCAGACTTTGAAAGGAAGATGGCGCCAAATGTGAGTTTGCCATGGCCAAGTACAGCCCCGAAGTAAAGCAGTTTTGTTACTTAGCCTCCCTATTTGGCCAGTTCTGTTTTCAATCTTAAAATAGTAGTTAATGAATACAACTTTAGCAAACTTTTAGATAGTTTTGTGATTATTTTATTTTCCAGCATCAATCTACAAAATAGAACTAATTAGAAAGCCTATGTCTGAAATAGCAATATAAAGGCAAAAGCAAAAACTTCCAAAATAGCAGCCAGCTAGCAGCAAAATGATCTTGAAATAAACGTGAAACCCAGAATTTCTTTTTCATGCTGATCACCCACTACAAGGGCCACTTTTTAGAAGATTCTTTTTTAGCAACAGACATTGGGGTTCACTTGAGGGTGAAGGGTGGGAGGAGGGAGAGCTGTAGAAAAGATAACTATTGGGTATTTGGCTTAATACCTGGGTGATGAAATAATCTGTACAGCAAATCCCCATGACGCAAGTTTACCTATGTAACAAACTTTCATATGTACCCTTGAACCTAAAGTAAAAGTTAAGTAAATTATTATTATTGTTTTTTGAGACAAAGTCTTGCTCCATCACCCAGACTGGAGTGCAGTGGCACAATCTTGGCTCACTTCAACCTCCACCTATTGGGTTTAGAAGATTCTCCTGCCTTAGCAGGAGTAGCTGGGATCACAGGTGTGAGCCACCATGCCCGACTATTATTTTTATTTTTTATTTTTTAGTAGAGACAGGGTTTCACCATGTTGGCCAGGCTGGTCTCAAAGTTCTGGCCTCATGATCTGCTCACCTTGGCCTTCCAAAGTGCTGGGATTACAGGCATAAGCCACCATGCCGAGCCAAAAAAATTATTTAAAAAAAAGAATTTCTCTTTCAATATACAAATTTCAACTCAATATTCGTTTAAAATGTCCCGTCTTGCTGAAGAAGTTTACCCATTTTATTTTATATAAAATATATACATTTATTTAAATATTTAAGATCACATATCTTAACATTTTAAAAACTATTATCATATTTAATTTTAAGGTTTTATACTAGCAGGCAAGTAAGAATTCAGTTATTCATGGAGTTGTTCCTTTAAGACCAGCAGAGTTCTTTGCGGTTACACAGGAAGAAATACTTGCAGTCATAGTGGTTTCTGATATGATGTGAATTGGTGGAGGACAGAGTGGAGGCCAGTAAATGGGGTCTACTTCCAAACTAGCCACTTCTTACAAGCTGTTGAGAAGAGATCTGACCAAAATTAATGTATCATAGGAGAGCTCACAAGAAAACCAAACATTCAAACTAGAGAGCAACACTGTGAAGAGATGGGGAACCAATTATATGCATCAGTTGTGTGTGTGTATGTATATATATATATATTCAGAGAGAGAGAGATTATTCCATCGTCCAGGTATTTTTATATATATATGTGTGTGTGTGTGTGTATATGTGCGTGTGTGTATATATATATACACATACATACTTTAACAAACTTTTAGATATATATATGTATACACACAGACACATTTTCCCCCCTATTTTCTCTATATAAAAATAGTAAAGGCAGAATATAAAGTAACTTTATATGGCTATGTGCATTATGGGGATTCAAAGAGACAATTTTGTGATAATCCATATCGTGTTGCTTTCAGAGTGAACTGCAACTGGGTTTGCATGCCTGAGTGCTGGCTTAGCAGCTGTGCAACTTTAAATGAGTCGCTTAACCTCTCTGATCCCCAGCTTCCGCATCCACGAAACAAGGGTCATACTTCAGTACCTCATGGGATTATTGGGAGGTTTAAATAGTATAATATAAAAATGTTCTTGTAGTATTGAATAAAAATACTGGTTTTCCTCTTAGAAAATGCTAGAGGTCTTCCCAAGAGGAAAATACTTCTTGTCAGGATTAAAGAGGATACACAAGAAGGTGGTACAATAAAGAACGCTTAGTGAGATATGAACAATGATGCCAACAATCAAACATATGCCTTATAGTTACAAAGAGTTTATTTATTCTTTATGTCATTAGTGCTTCACAAGCATCCTGTGAATCCATAGGCTAATTGCTATGCCCGTTATATAAGGGAGGAACTGTGACTTAGAGAAATTAAATGGATTGAACAATATCACCTTACAAGTCTATAATGGAGCATATTCTTTTTGACCAATAGTCTATTGCTCTTTACAGTGCACTAAGTTATCTATATGTTATCCACAGTTGCCAAATACCAAGCAGTTAAAAGTCTGATGGATTCCAAAATTGTATCTCAAAACATAGCTCTGTTCTCAAATTTCCCATGATTCCTGGAAAGACAATAATATCTATGGAATTAATAGAATGACTCTTTTTTGGGCAATTCCGAACTATTCCTGGACTCCTAAGGACCATGCTAAGCTCAATTTGCATTTCTTGGATTCTGTGAACCAAAGATGTTGTGTTTCTATTGTTAAATGCACCATGTTTTGTGACTGTGTCATTTAGTTTTTAGCATTTCCTGAATTGAAGTTACTCCCTCCAACTACCATGAAAAGTTGGATTTGTTCTGTGTAGCCCAAGGTTTACATATTTCTGCCCTTTTTAGGTGTCACAAATGAGCATCTCCATCCCTCAGTGCATTCTATATTAGGGTATCATAGTGCATTCTATGTTAGGGTATCTATCTTTGCATGCATATATTTTCTCTCCCTTTTGAGAGTGCAAGTTTCCTAAAGATGGAAAGTATACCATACGTCTGTACTCTCAGGCCTAGCTGAGAGGCTAGCATTAAATAGCTTTTCAATAAAATGCTTACTGCTGCTGCTGCTTTAAAGATGCTCTTCAGAGTTGACTTCTCAGGAGAGATTCACTAGAAAACATCATAAAAAGGTCAATTTTAGAGTAAGCAATAACTGTTACCTTCCTCCCTCTATAGTGAATGATCTCTTGAGAATTCTTTCTTAGAGAGAGACAATTGTTAGGGAGACAAAGGGTGCTTAGGAAAGAATTAATAATTACCATGTCGACCTGAAGATTTAAAAAAACCTAAAATAAGTCCTACTTTTCCAAACATTAACATGAATTATCGAAAATTAGGTTTCAGACCAGAACAGATCAAAATATCCAGTGCTCTCTAGGGAAAAAGCTTTTGAGATAAAGTAGAATTTCTTATATCTAAGAAGTAGGAAAAGGGTGTTTTGTTTGGTCCCTACAAATTATAGTTATTTGGTTTCAGCCTGAACAACTACCACAAGCAAATACTGGCAGGCCGAGTCTCTACAGGAGTGGTCAAAAAAGCCAGTTTTCATTTCCTTCCAAGCCCTTGTTTGGCTGATCCATCCATAGAAAAGCAGAACAAAAGGCAAGGGATTACTGCACCCTTAAGCATCCAAGTGGCTCATTCGGCTCAGGGGTTATTTTTAGCAATCTGCCTCACACTAAGGACTTCCTGCTCTATTCAGCAAATGTGCAAATGGGCGCTGCAGGACCGTAACAGTAGACATTGATGAAGGTTGTGATCAATGATTAGACTCTCAAGCCTGTTGTGTTTTTGATCTAGCCATGCCTTTCAACCACTGTGGTGAACATTTAGCTCTGAATAGGCTCATCTTCTTCATATGCACATTCTATTTGTAGATGTTGCTATGAGGACAGATTCATCAAAAATGACTGATGTGGAGTCTGGGGTCGCCAATTTTGCATCTTCAGCAAGGGCAGGCCGCCGGAATGCCTTACCAGACATCCAGAGTTCAGCTGCCACAGACGGAACCTCAGATTTACCCCTCAAACTGGAGGCTCTCTCCGTGAAGGAAGGTAATACTCAAAATCCTCTTACAATTAACAGCATTTGTCCCTTCTTAACCAGTCCTTTTCTCTGGACAGTCTTTCTTTTACCTAGTTAAAAGTGCTCAGCTTCCTTATTTGTTTACTTAAACCTCTCAGCTTTTGTTTAAGGCTTAGTGGATGTTCAGCCTTTTCCAAAGTAGAATATTTCATCTTTTTGTCTCATGCTGTGTATGTAGAAACTGAAGTTTTATTTATTCATTGCATGTGTATAGTTATAGTCATGCACAAAGCTAGTAATTGGGAATACAAAGGTGAACAAATATGATCTTTCTGTCAATGAGCTTTCAATTTTATTGAGAAGTATTCATAAATAAAGTAATTTTTCTTCTGCCATCCATTGACAAATCACTTTGGAAGCTTCTGCTTCACTGTAGTGTGCCACAAGCCCTTTAATTCTCAAATCTAGGAAGAAGTTTACTCTCAAGTAGGGATGAGATTCTTTCAAGAAAATTTTTGTAGAAAAGGTGATCATTCTTGACATTAAGAGAAAGGTAGAGCTGTCACACCATGAAGGGAAATCTTAGGTCTCTCTCTCCATTGTTTACATACAGTTTATATAGCTTCCAGAATTTAGTCTCCTGAAAACGAATATAAGGATACTTTCAATAAAGTGTTAAAAGGTGCCTTTCATTTAAAAACTCTTATGGAGATTTAAAAAAAACAACAACAAAACCCTGAATCAAAGTTAAAAACTACACTCAGAGAGATTAAAGATCATTTTTGTTCCAAGTCATTAGCAAACTACTCACCTTTTGTGCCCCGTTTTAGACTCTCAGGTGGACTCTAGTGTATGTTTGGGAATTTATTCTTGGTGACAACAAAGCAAGTGAGAACCAGAAGCCGCTCACATCTGGCCCATTCCTGGGAGCCCAAGAAGAAGGCTCTTGGTTCTTTGCTTCAGGAGGTTATTTACTACCTGGTAAAGTTTCAAATGTTCCTAGTTCATTCTCTATGAAATGGTTATATCCTTGTAGGCCAGGAGCTGTGACCAGATCCTGCAGTTCCATGATTACCTCATCTTTTTCCAAAGGCCACTATTTCTCATATGCGACACTATAGGTGAGAATTAAAAAGCATACACTTCAACGTAAAATATAATAAGAAGAATGAAAAGATGGGAAAGATAAGGGAAGAAAGAAATAAGCATATATGTAATGTTTTTGGCCTTTTAAGTTTGAAAATGTAATATGACCATAGGAATGTGATGTTGCTGTTGGAGTCCGTTCTAAACTAGTGAGGTAGAGAAGGCAATTACTTGTTAGTGTAAAAACCCTAATTAAATTTTATACACCTTCAACACACACAAAACCTTAATGTAACTGACATTACTTAATCAAGCAAAAGAAAGCAAATACACTATGGGAGAGTCAGCAGTGTTCTCCATTTTATTTTGGTCACTAGAGAGACTAGGATCTGAAAGAATATGTTACTGTTTTTATATTTTTCTTCATATCATTTTGAAATAAAGTCAAAGGCATCAGTTAAGAAACTGAAAATGGTAAAAATGAATTCACAAATAACACCAGATGCTAAAGATTACGCAAAAGGATGAAGGCATGTTGTAAAGTGAAATAGGCCGGGCACAGAAAGGCAAATACCACATGATCTTATTCATGGAATCTGAAAGAGACAAACAGCTGGAATCAGGGAGTAGAATGGTAGCTACCAGGAAAATTAGGAAGATGATGGTCAAAATACATAAAATTACAATTAGACAGGAGAAATAAGTTCAGGGGATCTACTGTAGCAAAACGGTGACTATAGTTAGTAACAATGTATTGTATACTTGAAGATTGCCAAGTGAGTAGATTTTGACTGTTCCCACCACACATACACACACACATAAGTATGTGAGGTAATGAATATGTTAGTTAGCTTGATTTAGCCACTCTACAATGTATGCATCTATCAAAACATCATGTTGCACAACAATATAAATACATGTAATTTTTATTTGTCAATGAAAAATTAAAGAGTAGAAAAAAATACACAAAAGGATATAGGCTTACATAGGTAGATGACATAGATAATATTTTACTAACAAAGTTACAAGTAAGCAGTTTGAAGGTTTATCTCTTTCTATTAGCTAAGTATAGATATTATTATGAATTTTAAAATAAATGTTTTCCAATTGATAATGAAAACTGAAAGCGGGAGTCTATCTCAGATGTTATGGTTTCAATAATTTATTCACTTAAACATACAAATTATGAGGTGAGGAAGATCTGCAGATTTCCCTCAGGTCTATCCTCTTTTGTTTACATTTTTAATTTTTTTAATAAATATGCGTAAGTGGCAGGAAATCTAGGATTTCCAGTGTCCTGCATGCTGTATGAAATTAACTGAGGATTGCCCAGTTCATAATCTGTCTTAATCTATTCCCTATAAATTGATAACCATGATAAAAAGGTCAATGATATTTGATGACATATGAACAAGAGGTGACAGAGGGTGGCATCCTGGGATGGAGAGAGGTCAGTGGATTTGGGATATGTTTTATAGGCAGAATCAATAGGACTTGCTGATGAATTGGATGTGGCAGAGATGAGGGAGAGAATTGGAGGATAACTCCTCGAGCAGTCAGGCAGGTGCTGATGCCATAACACTGAGAAGTGTTAGCCTATAGGATGGGCAATTTTGAGAGTTGGAGGAGTGAAAATTTTTGTGTTTAGGATGCCTATGAGACATCTAAATGGACAAGTTAATGAAGTAATTTGATATATAGGTCTGGTGGACCAGAGGGAAAAAGATTCAGAGATACACATTTTTGAATATTTGAGTGTAATTTTTTTTTTTTTTTTGAGACAGAGTTGCACTCTTGTCTCCCAGGCTGGAGTGCAATGGCGTCATCTCAGCTCACTGCAACCTCTGCCTCCTGGTTTCAAGTGACTCTCCTGTCTCAGCCTTCTGAGTAGCTGGGATTACAGGCGCTCACCACCACACGCCGCTAATATTTGTATTTTTAGTAGAGATGGAGTTTCACCATGTTGGGCAGGCTGGTCTCAAACTCCTGACTTCAGGTGATCTGCCCAACTTGGTCTCCCAAAGTACTGGGGTTACAGGCATGAGCCACCGCACCTGGCCTTAAGTGTATATTTTCAAAATTTATTTTATATGATTGAGGAGAAAATAGTGCAAATGAAATTCTCCCATACCTCACAAGCCACACAAGTAGATTACCTTTACAGTACAAATGGAAACACAGAATATGAGAAAGAAAGAGGGAGCCTTAGAAGGCCTCCACTCTTTTGATACATAGATGTTACCATAACTAACCCCAAACAGGTTAAGTGACTTGCTCGAGCTCACAAAAATTAAGTGATAATAGAATTTCTGGTTCCAAAGCCTTCATCTTTCCCATTATACCAACTTTTTTCTATAAATGCTTCATGGAAATTCTTTTGGGTATTAATGTGTCACTCAGATAAAAAGGGTGCTGTGGTCAAGTAAGTTTGGAATTGCTGGTTTCAACATAATTGGCTTTTTACACTTCTCGGAATGTTTCCTTTTTAGACAAGGACTTCTCAGAGCCTTTGTTACAGAGACTTTAAAGTAATAGTGTGTCCACACCCTTCTAGAAATAGAACATACAGCATTTTTTTTCTGTCATTTATTTGACCATCTCCAAAGAAGCATCTTGCAGAATTATTGTTCTGTGAAGCACTCTAAAAATGTGAAAGGAGTAGAAAAAACAGTTGATACAAAGAAGAGCAGAACACAAGGATGGAAATAGAAAATGTAAAAAAATAGACTATTATAATCTGATTTATGTTAAACGTATATTAATGAAAAGCCTAATTTAGTAAACGGTTAAAGTGGTTTATTACCTAAAAGATACATAATAAGGATCTGAACGTAATATTTATTTATTTATTTTATTTATTTATTTTTTTTTTTGAGACGGAGTCTCGCTCTGTCGCCCAGGCTGGAGTGCAGTGGCGCGATCTCCGCTCACTGCAAGCTCCGCCTCCCGGGTTCACGCCATTCTCCTGCCTCAGCCTCCCGAGTAGCTGGGACTACAGACGCCCGCCACTGCGCCCGGCTAATTTTTTTCTATTTTTTAGTAGAGACGGGGTTTCACCATGGTCTCGATCTCCTGACCTTGTGATCTGCCCGCCTCGGCCTCCCAAAGTGCTGGGATTACAGGCGTGAGCCACTGCGCCCGGCCAATATTTATATTAAGTAACGTGTTACTACATATAAGAAATGTTTTTCCAAACTAGGCTTCTAGAGAACAGAATCAAGCCAGATAATCTAGAACTCAACATTTTCTTACTTTCTCAAGAGTTCTTATTATGATCAAAAGAGTGAGATAAATAACTGTTCAAAAAAGCTTATTAACATTTGAAATGACAGTAACAGGCTTGAAGGGGAAGTTTGATGTTGCACTCTCAGAGAAATTATGTTGAAAGAATATATTGAAAATATATTCAATTACATTGAAAGCACTTGACATGTGCAGAAGCTTGAAGAATAACAATGTTAACTAGGAAGTTCATAATATATGAAAAATAATTTTCCTTTCATTAACATCACAATACAAAAAGTTTTCTTTTCATTAACATCACAACTCAAAGTTGACAGCAATCATAACCTCTTGAGCAGATTATTGTTTCTTTTTATCTACAATCATCTTTCAATGTATTTCTAAACACTTTCACATTACAAAGCAAAAAATGAGACTGTAAGAGGTATTTGAAATCATGTTTTATATTTTAGTTAATAATCCTGAGCAAGATACAAGATAGACAACAAATGGTATCCTGTTAGTTTTCATCTAATTATTACCTTGATTTCCTAGTACATTTCATAGAAAGATAACAACTTAAGGGGACTTCATATTATTATCTGCTCATTAGACAAACTTGAGATAGCAGATTTAACAACTCTTCTCTGAAAGCTATAAAGCTTTGTGTGTAGCTTGCTTAGAATCTGTGGTGGCAAGTGCAGCTTCAATTACTGTACAAATAATTTAGTTCTTTGTATTTCATACTGTTATAGAGTACCATTTTCCACCAAGCTTATTTTTCTAAGGGATTTCTTTCAATACACACTTATTAAGCACCTGCCATGTTAATTAGAAGGCAACCAATTATGATTGCTAGGGGTACAAATTCTCCCTTGATCCCAATTCTCCCTCCAGCTACTGTCCTAGTTCTCCATTTCTGTTTTGTAACAAAACTTCTTGACAGAGTTATCTGCTTCTGTGGCTCCAAATCTTCTGCGTCCCATTCTCTCTCTCACCCTAATAAGATTTTCACTTCACCACATCACCCCACTGCTATTTCAAGATGACAAATGACATTGTCTCTGCTAATATCAGTGGTTCATTCTTAGCCCTCCTCTTGCATGATCTCTTAGTCATAGATGATTGTCACTCCTTCCTGTAACGTTTCTCTTCCCTTGGCTTTCCGGACACTCCACTCATCTAGTTTTCTTCCTGCTTCCCTGGCGGCTCCTCCTTCAGCTTTACTTTCCTCATCTCCCCTAACTCTTAATAAATTGGAGGTTATCAAAATTCGGTCTTTGGACATCATATCTATCAACACTCTGTCACTTGTGATGTAATCTGATCTCGTTGGGATAATGATCGTGCTTTTGATGACTTACAAATTTGTATCTCCAACCTGGAGCTCTCCTGAACTGCACACTCATATACCAATTGCCTAATTGGCATCTCTGCTTGGATATCTAATGGGAATCTCAAACTTAATGGATATAAAAGCGAACTCCAGACAGTCTCCCAACAACAGCTCTTTCTGCATCTTCCCATCTCTGAGTGGCAATTCATACTTCCAGTTAACAAAATTATTGCCAAAAATATTGGAATCATCCTTATCTCCCTTCTTTTTCTTGTATTCTCCATCTCATCTATCAGTGAATACTGTCAGCTCTACTTTCAAAATTGATCCATAAATCTGCCATTTTTCACTCACAAGATCTAGTTTTTTTTGGTACCTCTGTGACTCCATTTTCCATTCTAATTTTCTCTACCACTGTCCCATTTGCAAATCCTTCCTGTGTATTATTGTCTTTGGCCTTGCTTTTCTCTGTGCTTGGAATGCTCTTCTCCCTGCTATCCATATAGAATTCTTCTTCAACTTTTCAGGCCTTTACTCAAATGTCCCCTTCTCAGTGAGACATACCCAGCTAACTCTGTCTAGAATTGCATCCTCCAGGCCCCAAGACTTCTTGAAAATTTCTATTTTCCACTCCTGCTTTAATGTCTTCATTAGCCCTTTTTACTTCTGATTGACCACAATTTTATTTATTTTGTTTATTGTCCATATTTCTCATCAGATTTTTCCTGAGAGCCAGGATTTATGTTTTGTTCATTGCCTTGTACATAGTACTCGCTTAATAAATATTTGATGAATTAAAGTTGAAGAACTGAATAAAGTCCATCAGATTTCAAAGATGCCATTGATGACTTGGCGGGAACAGTTTTGTAGAAGTAGTAGACCTAAATAGTTTTACTTAAAAATGGAGACAACAAAAGAGGGATACTTCTTAAAGGATGAAAGAGAAGATAGGATGTGGAAGGCTTACAGTTGAAAGAGGGTCTTTTTTAGTTTAAACATGGTAGTGAATTGAGGGAACGGAGGAGCCGGGAGAAAGGAAAAGTCAGATACAATGAAGAGCAGTAGATGATTATTAGAGTCAACCTCTTGATGAAGCAAAAATTGATAGGATGTGGGATCATGAAGGTATTAGACTGCACAGCAGGAGTAACATCAGGAGCCAGCTCCAAAATTGTGTAACCAGGGTGGTTGCATAGGGCTCCTTGATTAGAGGAGACTTGCACTTGGTTTAATGTTCTATTGTTGCTGTCTTGAAATTTTTCATTATTTTTGAACAAGGGTACTGCATTTTCAGTTTGCACTGGACACCAACAAATTACATAGCCAGTGCTGACGAGTGCATCTTCCATTGTAAAAAGAGGGAAGGCAGAAAGAATAAGCACAGATCACAGAGAGTTTTAGACATTGAATGGCAGGAAGTTGAGGGAGCTCCCGTCTGATAGCTTTGATTTTTTTTCCTATGAAGTAGAAAGTGAGGTTATCTCCTAAGAAAGAGCAAAGAGTGTAGAAAGTGTGAAGAAGCTGGGGAGAGTACAATCCTGCATAGGGAAATGGCTAAGGACATGGACCACAGAGTCAGTTGGCCCAAGCTCAAGTTGTGACTGTCACTCACTAGTCTCTGACTTTGGACAAATCGCTTAACTTGCTTGTGTTTCATTTTAGTAATCTGTAAATGGAGGCTCTGAGAATACTCTAGAAGACTGCCTGGCACTTAATAACTCTGTAGAATAGGAGAAAGTTGATCAGGAGAAGGTAGATTCCCAAACCTACTCATATCTCTCTTCTTTGTATAGTTTCCATATCTGAATTGAGGGCAAAATATGGACAGTGGACAAAGGAAAAACCAACAGTTTTATTCCAATGTAATATAAAATAAATTTCAATATATTCCACATATGAATGGAATTTTTATTTTCAGATGCAAAAGAGAAAGATGAAGAAACAACACAAGACCAATTGGAAAAGCCTCAAAATGAAGAAAAATGAAGGCTCATAATCTGTCAAGAGTGCTGAATTTCCGCATGTTGAAAGACTAAGTGGTTCTGTTTTCCTGAGACATTTAATCTGGTGGTAACTGTGGTAACATTGCAGCCCTAAGCAGCATGTGTATATTAGATAATTGTGTTGTGATGCTACTCACTTTGATTGCAATGATGATGTCCAATCTAAGCTATTAAAAGGCAGGTCACTTCCAAATCGCACCAAAGGAAAAGGTTAAAAATAATACATGATCACAGAAATGCATACCATTGTCTGTAAGCCCAACAAAATTCACTATTCTCTTTTGGATTTACTTAGCCTGATGTATTTTTAATTCAGTTTTTATGGTGATAAGCAAATCATTTCTTGGTAAATGTAAATCAAACACCATTGATTTAAAACTTCATGGAATTTGTAGAAAATTATGGACTTTTTTTTTTTTTTTTTTTTTTTTTTTTTTTTTGGTGAGAAAGAACAATAGTCAAAACTCACATGGATAGTGTTTGTTTTTAGCCAAAAATGCCCCAGATTTTTTCCCAAACCTCAAAAACGATTTGGAAAAATTGCAAAAGTTTGATAACAGAAACATCTTTAGGATATTTTTGCCTGACATATTTTGCTTCTAGTATGTGCCTACTGTGATTTTTTTCATGTGGAAAATGCAAAATTTGTAACAAAATGTTATATGGAACATGCCTATTAAATGAGTTTTACTATCTTCCTTAACTTTGGTATGTGTATGTGTGTGTGTGTTTTACTTTAATATGAATTATACAAAATACTAGTGGTTTTACACTCTCTTTTCTTATTCTTAGGGCTTTTGTGTATGTCTGATTTGTTTTTAAATACCTTCCTCAGGAATGCAGACCTTAATTTTTATATTTTTTTAAAGTAGCTAACATAGCAGTAGGCACTTAAGCATTTAGTCAATGATGCTGGTAGAAATAGTAAAATACATCCTTTAAACATGTATATCTAAACATATTTTAAAAGGAGCAAAAATAAAACCAAAGTGTTAGTAAATTCTGATTTATTAGACATTTTAGAAAAATAATAGAATTCTGAAGTTTCAAAAATGTCAGTGATTAATTTACTTTCATTTTCAGAAATATATGCATGCAGTTATATTTTATTTGATTGTTGACTTAGGCCACGTCTGTGTATAGTAACCGAATAAACTCTTTTGCTGCTAAAGAGATTTGTTACTGACACAAGTCTCCTTCATTTTATCTTCAGAAGTAGGCTGGGTAAAAAATGGTGACATATTTTAAAGAATGAAGTTAATAGTTTTTGCAATATAAATCACCTCCGACTTATTATTTTATTGATAGAGCTTACCTTTATATCTTATATACACCAAAGGGGTAGATCGCAAAGAACTTGATTGCTGTAAGTTTTTAAATATAGTTTTTTCCTTATTAAATAATCAAAAGTAATACTTTAAGTGTAGCACTAATTTAATATTCAATAACATTTATCACAGCCATTAAAATTATATTTCTAAGCGTTATTTAATGACATGAGGTTATATAATCAGATAAAGAGGGGTTGGAGTGGAACAGTGGTTTTCAGTATGTGTGGGGAAGCAATTTTGACCTCTAGAGGGCATTTGGTAATGTCTGGAGACTTTTTGGCTGCCACAACTGGAGGTGGAAAGCAAGGGAGAAAAGGTGCTACTGTAATGTAGTAGGCAGAGGCCAGGGATACCGTTACACTGCTAAGCATCTTACTGTCCCGCAGGGCAGCCCTGACAGCAAGGATTACCCGGCCATGTGTGTCAACAATGCTGACTCTCTGGAGTAGAGTTAAACTGTTAAGCATGTGGATTTTAAATTCAGATTATCTAGGTTTGAATTCTACTCAGTAGTTTCTTTATCCTGGGCAACTTACATCATGTCTCTAAGTCTGTTTTATCCTCTGTGGAATGGTTTTAATAATAGTGCATACTTTATAGGGTGGGTGGAGGCAGTAAATGAGATAGTATATGCAAAACAATTGAATAATGCCTGGCAAAGAATAATTATTCAATAAATATTAGCTATCATTATCATCATTGTCATATTTATTCAAGATGCTCTTGCCAATACTGTGGTAGTGGAGGTGGTAGGAAGCTCAATTTGTTTATTTGTCTTTCTGCCTTTCTTTGTGACTTCACAAACTCTGTGATATCCCCAATGCTTGGTGCTGGGAGAAAACAGGATGGTAGGAATAGACAATTCATGGTCATTACCACATGAATGCCAATTCCATCACGCTAATGGGTGACTGACAGGCCATGAGTATTACCATTTAACAATGAGTCTACTCACTAGTGTTTTATGACAGTTACTGCAAAAAAATAGAATCTTGAGTCAGTATTTAAATGAGTAATTTGTTCCATGAAAATGTAGAAGAAATAAAGTGACATCGTTCTTGGGTCATAGTTTTCTACAGTATTTTTCTCATTTAGAAAACCAAAAGTAAAGCCATGTCCCTCATTATTGCTACCAGTTACATATATTCTGACTGATACATATTCTAAATCACTTATTCACTACAATGCACACACAAATATTCCACTATTTTGTATTACCCAAGGTATCAGGCTTGTTAACTGAGAATATGTGCCAACAAAAACGGTTTATTTTTACTGAGGAGCCCCAGACAAAGGAGAATGAGAGGTCAGTAGCAGTTTCAGTAGCAGTTTAAAGACAACACTGAATTTGTCTACCAACTTTTTAAAAAATCAAGCTATTTTGAGGAACCTATGGTATTTTGTCATAGCAAGCAGACACTTTTACCAAAGCTATTTATTTGGGACTCATTAAAGAAAGTCTCCTTGCCCATTTTGCCATTGTCTTTGTAGAAGGCACTTGCTTTAGTCAATAGCTATAAAGTCTAAATTAACACTGTCAGATAATGAGGCTAAAAGGTGACAATAAAGCTAGAAAGCAGCTGTCTGAAAACTTAACTCTGTATAAAGGAGAAAGAACAAAAAGAATCTATTTTGTGTCATGTACCCAGAGATATTTTGTGATCTGGGAAGAAAAGATTTGAACCTTCTTAAAACATTAGTGAGTATAAGTAGAGGTGCCCTACTTAGAATAGAAAATAAACCACTAGTTTTCCTCAGGTGGCTTGACAACTTGGGCAGATGTTTGGCAAGGGACGGGGGGATAGAGAGCAGCAAGAGAAAAATGAAAATTCTGGTGTTCTATGCCACTGTAGAATGACTATAGTTAATAATAATATAAAATTTAAAATAGCTAGAAGGGGCTGGGCACAGTGGCTCACACCTGTAATCCCAGCACTTTGGGAGAGCAAGGTGGGTGGATCACTCGAAGTCAGGAGTTCGAGACCAGCCTGGCCAACATGGTAAAACCCTGTCTCTACTGAAAATACAAAAATTAGCTGGGTGTAAAAAAAAAAATTAGCTTGGTGTGGTGGTGGGTGCTATTGTCCTAGCTACTCAGGAGGTTAAGGCAGGAGAATCACTTGAATCCAGGAGACAGAGGTTGTAGTGGGCCGAGATTGTGCCACTGCACTCCAGCCTGGGCAATAGAGCAAGACTCTGTCTCAGAAAACAAAAACAAAAACAAAATAAAATAAAATAGCTAGAAGGAGAATGTTGAGCATTCTCAACACAAAGAAATGACAAATGCTTGAGATGATGAATATGCAAATCACCATGATCTGATCACTCTCAATTGTATGTATCAAAACATCACTATGTACCCCATGAGTATGTATAATTATTATTTGTTAATTAAAAAGTAAAATTAAAAAACGATGTAACCAAAGCTCACTAATCTGTTACCCTGTCTGTGGAGCCTGACCACTCAAGTTCAAAGTACAGATCTGTCATTTCCTCTTATTATTTTGTTTATTTTATTCCTTGTGCTTCCATTTCTTCAATGTGTAAAATGATAAATTATTATGAGCATTAAGTGAGTGAATATTGCTAATTGATTAAGGGCAGTGCCTGGCATACTAGCAAAAACTCGCATTATTATTATTTGCCAGAACATAAAGGGTGATAAAGACTTTAAGCAGAACGTTCTAGACCTGTTGATTATTTTCTATGTTATTTGCCGGAATAGATTTCCTTCTATTCTTCTGCTCTCTTTTTTTTCCCTTAGCAACACCTCCGTGGCTAAAAACAGGACTGATTAATCAGAATGAGTCCCTTTTTCTTTTTTTAAGTTATTGATGGCAACTCTCAGAACATTAAAAATCTGCAGCCAGTTAAAAAATGGAAGCATTGGCTCAAACAAAGGACTGGGGCAGTATTGTTGTTACTTGTTAAAATCCTAGAATGGATTTCTTAGTGGGCACACATCAATAGAAATCATCATCATAGGCCGGGTGCGGTGGCGCTCGCCTGTAATCCCAGCACTTTGGGAGGCTGAGGCGGGCGGGTCGCGAGGTCAGCAGATCGAGACCACCCTGGCTAACACGGTGAAACCCCGTCTCTACTAGAAACACAGAAAAATCAGCCGGGCGTGGTGGCAGCGCCTGTAGTCCCAGGTACTCGGGAGGCTGAGGCAGGAGAATGGCGTGAACCCGGGAGGCAGAGCTTGCAGTGAGCGGAGATGGCGCCACCGCACTCCAGCCTGGGCGACAGAGCGAGACTCTATCTCAAAAATAAAATAAAATAAAATAAAATAAAACAGCCAAATTTCATGTGACTGGTGATTACTTAGCACATAGTGATCCTTTTGAATCTTCATAAAAAATCATATAAAATAGTCATTAATGTTTCTCAATTTTACAGATGAAGAAAAGGATTCAGAGAGTATCTTTGAGACTTCACACAAGAAAGTGCAACAGTGACTTAGGACAGGGCTCTCAGAGCTTGGATGTGTACAGCCTCTCTCTCACCGAACGTCCCCTCCTCCCCAAACCAGCTCATCCATGAGTGTATTAGATTTGTTTGAATTTACTTAAAAATCTTAGGGAAATTTAAAAGTTGTATAAGAACAGCATATGAGCCAACATGAGCACTGATATCTCAAAACAGCAATTTTGTCTATTTATTTGGCTTTACTCTTTCATTAACTCATATTTTACCTCATTCCAGAAATGATCTGATATGGCAAGCTGTTGGTATTGTTGTCATTCTATTTGTCATTAACTTGTAGGGCCCTGAAGGAGTGCAGAGTTGGTGAGAAGCCTGAGGTTCTTTGGGGTGGGAAGTAGTAGCTGGAAGAGAGGCAGAGGAGAAAGGCTCCCTATCCTCGACTCGGTTCACACTCAGCTTGGGGCTAACCATGGTTGTGAAGACGGCACACAGACATTCTGAGACGCGAACTGCATCTGGCATGAACTAACTGCGAACATTCTTAGAGAAGAGCCACATAGGTAAGTGAAATCATCTCGTTTGTTCCTCGGCGATAAATTTCAGAGGCTGTATTATTTTTGGCAATGCTGATGGCAGAGAAGCGCCCGCAG